TAAGCGAGAATTGACCTAACCTCCTAGTCTCACTCAACCAGTTTTTGTTTTCTGAAGGAACTCATTTATAACCTTCAGTCTTCTGGATCCACATCGAAAAGAGGTCCCTTCGGACAGCAAGGGACACTTCTGGGTACTTGAAGATCCTCAACCATTTTTTAGTGAATATCTTTGTTCTTGGCAAAAATCTGTACAAAATTTGGAAAGTGGCAATCCACACGCAATGTCTCCATTTAATTCTTTTCTTCCTGATGCCTCTTGAGGACAGAAGCTGAGTGGCTTTAACGTGTTCTCTAATTGCTTTTGCTTTTGCTCTTTTCTGGATCCTCTGGAGACAGGCCAGCTTCATGTTGTCATTAAGATGCACGCTGAGGCTGTGCATACACGCCCTATTGTAGCCACAAGCGACTGTGTTGCTTGTATTGTGGGTCATCAAAGCAAATACTTTGCCATCCCTCATCTTCTAGAATGTTCCATATTGCGCAGCTGATATGATCTGCAGTATATCTCTTCCCTCTTGTTGTCTCCCCCACCCCCCCCCAAAAATTCATTGAGATGCATCCAAAGTGTTTATTATTCCTTCTCCATGATTATTTGTCTAGTTATAAGTTGAAGAAGACACAGTGCTTACAGTTTTTTCTTTGTTACATATTCCAGAATCCATCCATCTTCTGCCTGAAAGAGGCTATTTTGGAGAATATCTGCTGGGCAAATGATATAATAGCTTTCCTTGTTTAAAGACATTTTGCTGGCATTTTCAGTTCTTGATAACAGCATTCCTAAAGACCCTATAGCGCTGGACAGAGTCTGGTCTGCCTTGGTGTGACAAGCATGTCTCCAAATTAAGCCACAGAGAGTTTGGGGGATGCAGCCACAACATGAGTTCCTTCAGGATATTTACTGAGCAGCCATTGGTGGTGGGGCCCTGCTTTTTTACTTCACGGTCTCCCTGTTCTTTGAAACATTTAGTCTGTGAATGATTCTAGCAGCATTGAGGACAGTATTTGCAAAGAACCTCTGTTTCTCAGGAATCATTTGCCGTATGGCAATGCTTCCTTTTTTTTCTAGGTTTATTGAGAGACCATTGACGTATACCGTCGTGTAAGTTTAAGGTGTACAACCGGGTGATTTGGAAATGCTTCCTACTTGCTATATGCTCTAAGTTAAACTCTATCTCACAAGTAGGGTTCTAGTGGCATGAAAGGGAAATTTCAGTGGCTGATGGGCAGATACCCATTATGCACCAGCCCACACAGCTGCAAAAGCTGTGCCCTTTCATGACAACCACATGGGGGGGGACACTGAAGGCTTCATCTTGCAAGACAGCCAGCATTGCCAGAGAAATTAGATTAGCAGGAATCAAATTATGACTTTCTTATTTATCGAAGTTAAATAGTGCAGTAGTTTGATTTTGACCTCATTATGAAATGTGCAGTTTTCAATGATGGTGTGGATCACCTGGCCACGACTGTCCTGGAGGAAATAGGTTCCAGTTTCCAATGGCTTTCTTTTTTCTCTCTCAGTTTGACGGCTTTGAACAACCTGCCTCTTATTTTCTTCTTCACAGAAATAAATGGAATGTACCGCTCTGGTCCATGCAACTTGCAGACTTTTGAGACTCAGTCACCAGGAGAGAAATGGGTCCCCACTAATATCTAGACCAATAAGCAAAGGCAGGTCTGAGCCCACTGGTCTTCATCGTGACCCTGGAGGCAGCCATGCCCCCTCATCATGTGCTTGTGAGCCATGGGGGTGTGCTTGTATAGGGATGGACTTTTTAGGTTCCCAATTGGGAACACACTTTATACCATTCTGCATGGACTACTTACCCTTAGAAATTATTTTTGTAATCAGTGCGTAAACTGTTGTCCCTATTCTTTTTTAAGGTTGTGCCATAATTTATTAACCATCTTTCTCTTGATGAACAGTTACTTTACAGGTTTTTCCCTTCCAAACAATTCTGCAATAAATATCCATGTTTGAACTTCTGTGCAACCAGATCCAAGGATAGAGTACCGGGGCGCCTGGGTGGCTCAGTCACTTGAGCATCCCACTTCGGCTCAGGTCACTATCTCACGGTTCGCAAGTTTGAGCCCCACGTCGGGCTCTGTGCTGACAGCTCAGAGCCTGGAGCCTGCTTTGGATTCTGTGTCTCCCTCTCTCTCTGTTCCTTCCCTGCTTGTACTCTGTCTCTCTCTCTCTCAAAAATAAATAAAGGTTGAAAGAAAAAAAAAGGATACAGTACCTGAAGGACAAACTCTCAGAAGTGAACCTGCTAGCTAGACATTGCCAAGTGTCCTTCCAAGAGAAAACACCAGTTTGAACTTACAAGCGCCGTGAATCTAGAGAGCCTGTTTCTCACATTTCCTTCAACCCAGGGCATTTTTCATCTCCTAGGACAAGATGGCATGCCACTGTTGTTTCCCCATTCTGTCCTCTCATTGTGAGCGTGCGAGAAGCATTTTTTCCTATATGTGGCATACATTTATTTTTCCGCATGCCATAGAAGTGTACCCCTTGTGGACAGGAGACCTCTGTTCACAAATGTAGGCATGCCAGTCCCCCAGAGCTCAACCCCTTCACTCCTCAGACGGCATCTTTATGCCTCTGTTCTTCTCATGTCTGTTCCCCCACCCTCCCTCCCATCATACCCCACAGCTCTTTCCTGTGTTCCCTCTTGCTTCGCTGCCTCTTTGCAATGTCTAGAGTGTCCAGGTCTTATGTGGGTCAGGAGGTGCTGGCGAGGGGGAATCGTGTGTCCTTAGGGAAGGAGCAGCTTTCTACTCTGCTTGTTTTAATGAGAAGAATCTTCTGACTTCCAACGCAGGGTGGCCGTAGGAGGAGGAGAGGAGAGGAAATGAAGAGAAAGAACTGAAATAGCTCCTTCCAGAAGAAAAGGGTAAGACTGGCCCAGAATTACCCTGTGCTCTAAGGGAGGGCCGTAAGAAATGCTCAGAGATGGGTCACCTGTGGGAAGTAGGGAGGGAGTGACCCATCACATGGCCCTCTAAGATGGCAGACTTGGCGCAAGTCAGGAGAAAGTCGGCTTCCTACAGGCCTTTACCCCTCGGTTGGTGCTGGGGTGGTTTGAGAGCTATCGGACAAGACACAGAGTCAGGTTTTGGGGTCTGGGCCATCTGTGTAGCAGTGGAGTTCCCTGCCACCTGCCTCTTCTGGTCCTTTGTGTCTCCCCAGGAAACAAGTTCGGCAGCAGACCTCCAGTCTTACAAAGCAGCAGCCCCGCCTGGGAGCAGGGTGGTGGCCAGGGCAATGGTGGGAGCCCTGAAGATGCCCCATGGCTGCTGAGGGGGCCGCCCGGTCAGGGAGCGGAGTGGCGGGCATGGTGTGCAGTCTCTGGGTCCTGGGGCTGGCGTCCTCAGTTCTGGCTCTGGAAGGTAAGAGGGAGGGGAGACTGGAGAATTCCCTGCCTGCCACCGTGGGTGGGAAATGGGAAAGATTCAGAAAGGGCAGAAAAGAGTGAAGACGGCAAGAAGGGGCAAAGGATGGGGAAGGTTTCCAAGAAAGGCTCCTGACAGACAGTTGTGCCCCTGCTGGTGGATCCAAAGCACCAGGGAGGGGAATTCTTGTTTTCCTCATGGGAATGTGGTGAGGGTTAGCAGCACCGGCCGGAGGCTTGGCCGTTGAGTGTCCCTTCTTATCTCTGGGCAGAGGTGCTTCTGGACACCACTGGAGAGACATCCGAGATTGGCTGGCTCACCTACCCGCCAGGCGGGGTGAGTGGCATTCCTGACCCCAGCGCACCTCCCCCACCCTGCTCCTAGAGTGTGGAACTTGGGAGGGAGGCCCTGGGTAGAGACTAATGGGGTAAGACTCATCCTCCCGAGAGGAACAGGACTTCCGCGTGTTCTTACCCCGCTCTGCATGCAGCTAACTGTCTCCCCGGCCGCCCTCCCTACAGTGGGATGAAGTGAGCGTTCTGGACGACCAGCGACGCCTGACTCGGACCTTCGAGGCATGCCATGTGGCAGGGGCCCCTCCGGGCACCGGGCAGGACAACTGGCTGCAGACACACTTTGTAGAGCGACGAGGAGCGCAGAGGGCACACATCAGACTCCACTTCTCAGTGCGGGCGTGTGCCAGCCTGGGCGTGGCCGGAGGCACCTGCCGGGAGACCTTCACGCTTTACTACCGCCAGGCGGAGGAGCCCGATGGCCCCGACAGCATTTCCTCCTGGCACCTCAAACGCTGGACCAAGGTGGACACGATTGCAGCGGACGAGAGCTTCCCCGCCTCCTCCGCCTGGGCCGTGGGCCCGCGCGGCGCTGGGCAGCGGGCCGGGCTGCAGCTGAATGTCAAAGAGAGGAGCTTCGGCCCCCTCACCCAGCGAGGCTTCTACGTGGCCTTCCAGGACACGGGGGCCTGCCTGGCCCTAGTGGCGGTCAAGCTCTTCTCCTACACCTGCCCCTCCGTTCTCCGCGCCTTCGCCTCCTTCCCTGAGACGCAGGCCAGTGGGGCCGGAGGCGCCTCCCTGGTGGCCGCCGTGGGCACCTGTGTGGCTCACGCAGAGCCAGAGGAGGATGGAGGTGGGGGACAGGCCGGGGGGAGCCCCCCCAGGCTGCACTGCAATGGGGAGGGCAAGTGGATGGTAGCTGTTGGGGGCTGCCGCTGCCAGCCAGGGCACCAGCCCGCCCGTGGAGACAAGGCCTGCCAAGGTGAGATTCTGCCACTGTGCACTTGCCCAAGATCTCCCCACCCGTCTCCCGACCTTTGGGCGCCTCTGCTGAATACCCCAAACTTTACTTTGTCCTCCAAAAGTTCAGGAATAAGCTATTTTAGGAAAGGACTCTTGTTTTCTCCAGACTTATTTTCTAAAGCACACAAATATGGTGTCATAGGCTCATCTCAAATTTCTAGAACCTTCTGGAGACTTCCACATTGCTGAGCCTCCTGGGGCTGCAGGCCTGGGAAGTGATGGAGATCACACTCCTGGGTTATCTTGGGGTGGGTCCTTTGTCCCTATATGCCGTGTAATTCGGAAGTGATCCTCACAGGGCCAGGTGACCAGGATGCAGGTAGGAGAAGGCAGTGGGTACCAGCCAAGGGGGATGCTTCTGTTGCAGGGTAGAGGCTGCGGAAGGCCTCTGCAGAGGGAGGTTACACGGTCGAGCCAGACACCTATATCAGGGGCTTGTCCTGCCCATAGTCCCCCACCGCACCTCACTTGTTCCACCCAAGGAAATGCAGTTCCCACCCCAGTCACCTGATGGAAGTAATCTGCCTGAGTGAGGGACAGAGGGAAGAGGGGCTGGGGGGTAGGTCTCAGGAGGAAAGGAGAGACCTCCCTGGGGAGTGGAAGGCTGGGAGGATGCCCGAGTGATGCATGTGACGCATGTGGGCTCCGGAGGCAGTGAGTGGAGTGAGCCTGAAGTCCTCACCCGGTTCTGCCCCTCAGCCTGCCCCGGGGGCTCCTACAAGGCCACGGCTGGGAACGCCCCCTGCTTGCCCTGCCCAGCCCGCAGCCACGCCCCCGACCCTGCGGCGCCTGTTTGCCCCTGCCTTGAGGGCTTCTACAGGGCCGGTTCCGACCCCCCAGAGGCCCCCTGCACTGGTGAGTCTCCCACCAGCCCAGGGGGTGGAAATGGGACTGGGGGCGGCAGAGAAGGGGAGCCCGAGGGCTACACATGGGGCTGGTGTGCATTTGCAGTGACTTTTCTCCTGTTCCCTCATTTTGTCCCTCCCTGCTACACACCTCCTTCTCACCTTGACTCCATCTGCACTGGCCCACCTCCTACCCCTCCTCCCACCCACCTCCGCTTTCTGGTCCCCACCCCATGCTCTTGGTCTCCTCCCCTCTGGGCCACCTGCTGTCCCCTGCTTCCTAACTTCCTCCATCATGCCCACCCCTCCTCCCCCACCTCTACCCCAACGACTCCTTTCCCTGGCC